ATCCATAGAAATGGCTAAGAATGAAATTTCCGGATTATTATTCTTTCAACATTCATAACCATTTAAGAAAGAAATAAAACAAAAAAAATTTCACCATTCATTTATTCGTCATTTATTCATACACATTTGATTAATATCAGTTGATTTATGATGAACAACGGAGATATACTACTTATATATACATTACTAGTATACTACTTATATATATATTACTATTATTAGTAACTAGAATGAGGTCAAATTATTCTTGTTATAATGATAGAAAAAATTGACTGATTAGAAAAAGATTCTTAGGATATATGAGGTTAACAAATATATTAATGTTAAGTTAGAATGGTGGGGCTGAAGAGAGCATGCATCAATTCGAATCATCAATATATGTATATATACCCACTTACTTACTCCTGTTACCCTTCGTGGAGGAGTATAGGCCACCCACTAGTACTCTCCATCCAATCCTGTCCTAGGCAATCTTTTCTACTCGAATTTATTTTAAATGCGTTATTTTTATGTGTATACTATTTTTATTGTGTACTGGTTCTATACTTAGTATTAGGGCCAATTGTTTATTATAGTCTGAAATTTTTTCATTCTTCGGAGAAAATCAATGTTTATCTTTATGAAAATCATTTCTTGATCAGGCTAAGAGTAGTAGTAGTAGTAGTAATAGTAGAAGTAGTAGTAATGTGGTGTGGTCTACTTATATCCTCATAAGTAGTATATGGTGATGGTCAGGCATAGAATGTATTTTGGCAAAAGATTGATAAGGAAAGAAAAGGAATGAAGCGCAATCGGTACGAAAATGCATGAACAATAATAATCAGAGACTGTGGACTAATATTTGCAGAAGGAACATTTAAGATTGAGAAAATTGATTGTTATTTTGCAAATTAACTGTTCATTGTATGGTGAGATAGTGAGATAAGGGTTTTTTTGTGGAGATTGAGTACCCAGGACCTACCAGTCCTAGGTTTAAATCTCGCGAGGCGAGGTCGTGGATGCGCACTGATGAGGAATCCCACAATAGGACGAAACGGCCGTCCAGTGCTTTCAGATTTTTACTGGTGGTCTAGCTTCAATTGACTCACGCTTTCAACTATGAAGATAGTAAGATAGTCTGCAATACTGTGCTTACATACATTCGATTGTTCCCACCCGTGTTCTCGTTCACTACAGTAGTAGCAATAGTAGTAGTGTGAGTAGTAGTAATAGTTTACTAGGATTTCTAATCGATCATTCAATAGAATGATAAATTCGATTTATCCGTATTTCATTCAACTGTTCTCTCTTATATGTTTCTTTCTTCATTGGAGAGAAAGAAAGTTCTTACTTCTTCTTCTTCTCTTTCTTCTCCTTCTTCTTCATTATTTCCTTCTTCTTACCAACTATTGAATAATCTTCATGGGTGGTTTTTTCTCCTTCGTAAAATAGCATTTACAAGTTAACCTACCAATGTTTTATTTATTTATGAGTTCCCTTATTTCAGCTTTTGTATGTATGTCTCATATTCAGAATGATAAGATGGAAAAAAGGTCAAAGAAAGAAGTAGTTACTAGAATGATTTAAACAATTTTTTCTTGATAACATGAAAATATTTGATTTTGACTAATGATAATTTTTTAATGGTTGAATTTATGAGTTGATTGAAGCTAGACCACCCGCGAAAACAAAGGAGCAATTGACGGTCATTTCATCCTAGTATGGGGTTCCTCAACAGTACGCATCCATGATCACGCAATAAAGGGACTCGAACCCAGAACCTTCAATCTCACAGGCGAATGGTTAATCTCCAGACCATTGAGTTAGAATGCAATGGTGTTAATGTCTAGCTTCAATCAATCCACGATATGGTGCAACCATCCACCATTGTTTTCAGTGAATAACTTGCTCTACAACAGACATGGTTGAACTCCATTGGACACGGCTTCTCCTTAGAACTCCAGAAAATACTTCATGAATCCAGTCACTAGTGAGCAGATGATGATCAATATCAGGAGGGTGTTTGGTGGAGATTTTAATAGACCGATAGGCTTCGAAGTCAAATCCCGCTGGCGGGATCGTTGATGTGCACTACTGAGGAGTCCCATACTAGGATGAAAAGGCCGTTCAGTGCATTCAGGTTTCCCGTGGTGAATTAGCCTTAATTGACTAATGAATTGAAATTTTAAATTACTAAAATCTTCAGAAAACCCCCTTCTGACAATAATGATAATTTTTTTTTTGTTAGTCAACAGTTATCTCAATGTATCAGTAATCAAGATGAAGCTTTTTTTTTCGGGTGGAGGTTGCATTAATTGATCTAATCCAGCATGGTTTTTTATTGATGATAATGAATTTTAAAAGTAGTGATTAGCTGATATTAATGATAGATGTTATGTATACAAATTGACTGAATTCTCAATCATTATCTATCAGTTGATAGATACAATATAGTTAACAAGTTGAACGAATTCATCTTGAATTTACTTACTTACGTCTGTTACTCCTCGTAGAGGAGCATAGGCCGCTCATAAGCAGTCTCCATCCAACTCTGTCCTGAGGCTTCCTTTCCAGTTCTTTCCAGTTGTTATTCATCCTTTTCATATCTGTGTTCTTTGGCCTTCCTCTTTCCAGCTTCCCTTCCGGATTCCAAGTTAGGGATTGCCTCGTGATGCAGCTTAATGACTTCCTCAATGTATGTTCTATCCACTTCCAACGTCTTTTCCTAATTTCCTCTTCAGATGGAAGCTGGTTTGTCCTCCCCCATAAAACGCTGTTGCTGATAGTATCCGGCCTCTGAATGTTGAGTATTTCGCGTCAACAATTGTTTATAAATACTTGTATCTTCTTGACGATGGCTGTAGTAATTCTCCACATTTTGACTCCGTACAGTAGAACTGTCTTGACGTTCGTATTAAAGATTCTGACTTTGAAGTTAGTTGACAGTTGTTTTGAGTTCCATATGTTCTTCAATTGTAGAAATGCTGTCCTTGCTTTGCCAATCCTTGCCTTTACATCTGCATCCGATCTTCCTTATTTATCAACGATGCCTCCCAGGCACGTGAATGTTTCCACTTCTTTCAGAGTTTCGCCATCAAGTGTGATTGGGTTGGTGTTCTCCGTGTTACATTTGAGAATATTGCTTTTCCTTTGTGTATGTTGTGGCTTATCTATGCAGAGGCTGTTGCTACATTTGTTGTCTTTGTCTGTATTTGTTCATGTGTATGAGAGAGGAGGGCTAGGTCATCTGCGAAGTCCAAATCATCTAATTGATTCTGAGATATTCATTGTATTCTATGTTTCCCCTCAGATGTCGAAGTCTTTATAATCCAGAGAGTAGACAGCTTTGTCTGACTCCGGTCCCTACTGGAAATGCATCTGTCAGTTGTCCTCCATGCATAACTTTTCACTGTAGTCCATCGTATGAGTTTTGGATAATGTTGAATAGTTTGAATAAAAGATACATACAGAGGGTTCTTAGCATTCGTCTAATGGGGAAGCGACATGTGAAAATTCCGTAATGTTCTTCCAAGGAGTGATTGGATGGAATACCTTCGGCTCTTTCTGAGATTTTTAGAGCTTCCTCTATTTCACCTATGGGCCCTCTTCACATAATTCAATAACACAATAATGAAAAATTTATGATTATCTCAAATTATTCAATCTACTGACTATATTTTCAAAATTTTCAAGTAATATAGATGATACAAAAATAACCTTAACTACTGATAACCGATAATTCAATTCTACAATTTACTATTGAATTAGAAATAGATCGTGAGGAGATGTAGTCTCATGGTAGCCAGTGACCAACAATTGGTTCATACGTCATTTGTTCCTTCAGGATACTGGAGCTCATGTGCATTATTGGTTTGGAATCAAGATTTTCCAATTCACCTAGGTGGACGTCTCATGTCTGTTATATAATAGTGAAGAAGTAAGTACGGATAACTTCATGGACCTATTAATGGACGATTATTCTATATATATTCTTATTGTTTAACTATTGAGTAGTTAGGTAGTGTATATCTTTATTCATTTTATTATAAGTCTCATTTTGACCTATGGATTATTACTGTACGATTTACTGTCCCTAAATTATATTCAGTTTATTGATGATTGTCTCCCACGTTCACAGCCACATTTGGCTATATCATCTACAAATATTATTTTCTATTTTATGGTGTGATACGGTCTGTCTGTCTGGTATATAAACCGAGTGTGCTTGAAATAAATGATTTGCATAGCAGAAGCTGTAATTGGTGTTCTGGACTCAAATGGAAGGGCTAAGCGAACAAGGTACCAACAAGGACGCTAGACTGCTCATACCAGTTGAACATCATCGTTTTGGTACAGTGTTAAGAATAGAAAACTCGTATTTCGATTGATGAATAATTCACGTGATAAAAAAACCGGACATAAAGTCATAACGAATTGGCAACAGCCTTATTCTTCTATAAAGTCATACCAATGTCCATCAACTCGATTAACCGCCGAACATTCGTTTTTCGTCATCTTAATTTCGTAAACAATAATAATGTCGTGAGAAGGCAGTGAGTAAGACTTCCCTGTCAGTGATTGTATACACATGACCATGTGATACCATTTCAAGAAGATGAGCAGATTTTCCACACACTCAGCCATACAATATCATTTAAGAACAGTCTTTAAACTATACAAAAAAATCTTTACAAAATATATGATAAAACCACTTAACAACATAACAGTTTTTCCCCACCCCTCTCCTCATTCAATTACAAATAGAAAATACATTGTACTTGAAATTTCTATTAATTTATTGTTTATTTTCATTCAATGTTTTTTTTTATATATATACATCTATAGTAAATAGTTAACAATAATCTAATTGAATACACTTTTGATCTCTCATTTATAAAACTCTTTATTATAATAATAATAATAGTTTTTATTATTATTATTATTATTAGTAGTAGTAGTAGTAGTAGTTGTGGTAGTAGTAGTGGTAGTAGGATTAGTGGTAGCAGTAGCAGTAGCAGTAGCAGTAGCAGTAGCAGTAGCAGTAGTAGTAGTAGTGTATTAGTAGTAGTAGCCGTGGTAATCGCCGTCGTAGTAGTAGTATAAGTAGTAGTATTAGTAGTATTATTTGATATGTAAAAGTTTTTGAAATGCTATACGAAATTCCATATTAAATATTGTATAGATAATTGGATTTAATGCAGAATTAATATAACCAAGCCATGTACATGATGACATTAATTGATTAGCATATTCACATATATTACATTGATCTAAACCTAAATAAATACATAAACCTAATGTAATATTAATAGAGAAAAATGGTAACCAACATGCAAGAAAAACACCTAAAGGAAAAAAGGAAAGAAAAAAGAAAAAAAGAAGAAAAAAGTGAGAAAAAAGAAAAGAAAAATGAGAATGTAGTTTAATCAGTAAACTTACTAATGGTATAAAGAGTATTGTACTCACTAGGCGATTCCAAGATTTCTAATGTGAGGTTGTTACCCCTTAATCCTGCTTGACGATGATTGTAAAATATCATGAGTTGATTGAGATTATGAATAAAGACCATCAGATGAGAGCTCAGTAAGCTATAGCTTTATGCCTCGTTGATAGACTTTGGTTGGATCAGCAATAGAGCTATTGATGTGGACTATTGAGGAGTCAATGTATTATGAAGAAAATATTATTCAATGCATCCTGGTTTCTAGTGAGTGTTTAGATTCGGTTATTTAGTGATGCAAACCATAATGTCAGTATTGAGTTTTCAACTTTAGTTGCTTGAAGGCAGTCAGTGAAATATACTAGGCTTGAGTTAAACTATACTTTGAAATTACTATTAAGGTGTGTTTTACAATTTGAGAGGATTGATTCCTTCTTAGGGATCTAGACCTGTGCAATAGTAAGGGGTTGATAGAAGTTTGATGGCATTTCTGAAGACTTTGTTAATATAACATTGGTTACTGCTTAGCGATCAAAAAGTATAATTAAGTTTAAATGTGAAATTTTGATTTTTAAGAATGTTGATTATTTAAATCGATGAAATGCGACCTCACTTTAGATCCAAAGTTTCATTGAAGCTTGTTTGATTGAATATACACATGATAGACTAGGAAACGAGTCACACTGGTGTTTGATTATTTTGTTCTAACACTATGGTCTAGTTGTTCAAAAGCAGAATAGAAAATCAAGTGACAGCAAAACCGGTTCAAAGTCTTACATTTCATTTCACTCAATCGAGAAAAATGGACGAGTCAAGATAAATGTAGCATCAGTGGTGTTAGAAAAGCAAAACACTGAAGATTTGGTTCATTTGAAGGGGTTTTATCAGCACTAGTTTAATTAGTATACAGAATTCATCATAGTTTGATATTAGTTGGAATGCACTTAAAAATCAGAGAGTATTGGATCTCTGTTTCTTTCCAGCATGGAACTCCACAACGATGAAATTCTCAACCCTACTCTTCAACCGACCTTCTACATTTCTTAGCAAATATTAAGCCATTAGAACTATTAGTCCTGTGTTCAACAGTGCATGGGTATGAAAAAGATTGGAATTGAGGAATATGGATAGTAAAACAATACTAGGACTGGGATTCGTTTTGAAAATAAAGATTTCATACCTGTGTACCTATGCCATTGTCATTGAGCTATTTAAATAAGGTCTTCAACCACAATTTTTACTTATCACGTGAACATACTAAAACAACCAGGAATTGATCTTATTCTTTAGTCTGACCATATTCAGCTTTATTCTTTCATACACTTATGATATAGTCATTAGTTAATAAATTAAGGAGCAGTGACTGTTTTGTCTATGTCTCATACAACTTATCCTTTTAAATTGACAAGAGTTTATCGTTTGGCTATTCGATTCATCATTCTCTTCTGCGTGATCTTGAGAGAACTTACAATAATCACTCATCTGTATTCTAACAAATACTAAAAGACCTTTGCATTAACATTCTAGTGAAATACTCACGTATTTTACCTTCGAACGGTAGATTTTACAGTCATGAAGAAGTACTGTGCGAGCTGCTGGTACGTAGACAGAAGTTTCTCCATTTATACAAATACCACATGTTGACTTAAACCAATCTTATTTTGTGTTAATATCCATATTTATTCAGACAATGACCTACCTACTTAGGATAGACAAAGTGGTCATTACATTCAGTTTTTTTGTGATCAGACGAGTCCCTGATGTAGATAGGTCTTGAAGTAACATTTTTAAACAGTAGTGTTGTTCATTGTCATTCCACACTCATACAAGCAATATAAATACATTCAGCTCATGATTTTTAAGTTAAAACGGTCTTATGTGGAGTCCCTGCTAGGTGTCGGCGAAATTACCAATTCTTTTTAGTTTTCATGATTATCTAGCCCAGTTCAGCAATTTGGAAGGGTTTGTATTCTACGGTTATAAATATAAAAGGCTGCAACTAATCTGTCTCTATAAATGTATGTGCATTCTGAGCTAATCATATCGATATTGTAATATTTTCAAAAGTTCCCATTAAAGTCGGATATGAGCTAATAATAGAATCCAAGATGTAAATTTCGTCCTGTTTGTGATTCGTCAATTGAATTTATTTACATACCAATGTTGATATTTAAACTGATACTCAAATGCAATATCTCTTAACCTTAACCTCCCCCACCCCTCACTCACCATCTAGTCTATATATTTTGAATACAATATGATTTGAATCTTAGATTCCACTTTTAGTAACTTCTAATCACTATATCCTCAGCGCACAGCTGAAGAGTCTCACAATAGGACAACACTGCCATCCAGTGCTTCCAAGTTTATCATGGTGGTCAAGCTTCAATGGACTCAATAACTCAACTACTGAAATTAATATAATAACCACGAAAACCCCTTCTGGTATTAATCAATATATGCTCACTAGTGACTGGCTTCAAGATGTATTTCCTGAAGTTCTAGTGAAAATACGTGACCAATGAATTTCGACTTTGTCTGTTGTGAGATAATAACTCACTGAAGACAATGGTAGAAAGTTGTTCAGTTTCGTGGATTGGTTAAAGTTAGACATTAATACCGTTGGATTTCAGCTCAGTGGTCTAGATATTAAGAGCTCGCGCACGAGGCATCTAGATTCTGGGTTCGTATCTAGCGAGATGGAATCGTGGTTGAGCACTGCTACTGAGGAGTTCCACAATAGGACGAAAACCCTTCAGATAAATATTTATTTTTAAAAAAAAAACTCAACTTACCTAATACAATAGCTAATGTTTTCGTTGCTTTTTTCTCTTTATTTGATAAAATATTTTTATTTTTTAATATTATATGATGTTTTGGACTATGGTTACATGATATTTTCTTAATTAATTTTTCACTACTTATATCTATATCAATAGGTAGTATTGAATGATTTATAATATTATGATTATTAACATGATTTTGATTCTTTTCATTCATATAATTATTTTTATTTGTATTTATATGAAATAATTTAAAAAAATTATTGAAATATTGTATAATGATTTGTAAATTTTGTTTAAATTGATCATTGAATTCAAATATGGGTTTACCGCGGGAATATTTTTTAAATTTAAATTTTTGTTTCTCATTTAAATTTAAATTTTTTATTTTTTTATTTTTTTGTTGATTATTTTTAATTATTTTATTATTATTATTATTATTATTATTAAATCCATTATTTAATTTCATAAATCCATTTTTATTTATTGATTGATATGAAGTATATTGTATTATCATTGGATGACATTGACTACAATCATATGATTGTTCAAAACTAGATTGACATAATGAATGTTGACAACATTTACATGAAGAATATTCATGATCATTTTCTTCATCTTCATTGACGTCATCATCATCATCATCATCGTCGTCTTCGTCGTCATCCTCATCATCATCTTGATCACTATAATTCTTCAAACAATGATCAGTAATTTCATCAGAACTTAATCCATAACATTCATTCATATTTGGCCATGAATAATTAGAATCATTTGATGTTGAACTGTTATATACATTTGAATGATTATTATTTAAACAAGTATTAATCCATGATAATGTAAATAGATTTCTAAGAGTTGATTTAAACAAAATATAATGATGATGATGATGATGATGATGATGTTGATGACAAGATGGATTCTTTGTATGATATTTAAGCTTTTGAATAGATAATCTAGAAGTATATGATTGTTTGATTGAATTACAAATGACTTCTTTTTGAAGTATCATTGAAGAGTTATTAGTAATTTGATTTTGTTCTTTAAATGATTCTTCTTTTTCTTCTTTAGATTGTTTAAAAGGTAAATGTTTTATAGGTGATGTATTATATACATGATCACATTGAAATATAGTTCCAGATACTTCTTCTTCTACTTCATCACCGTCATCACCGTCGTTGTCGTCGTCATCATCATCATCATCATCGTTGGTATGCGGGGATATAAGTGATGCTTGATTTGAATTGCTCAATATATGTTTAGGGGATTCAAATGATTTTAATGTATTTAAATCTGTTTCAGATGTACATAATTGATTGAATGGATTATTGATTAAATGATTATTATGATTATGATCTTCATTTAAATTCATTACTTGAATTTGATTGGTTGATTTAAAATAATCTATTGGATGAGTATGAGTTATCGCGTAAATTAATCGATCCGTATGAAAATTTAAATTTGGTGATAGTATATCATTACATGGTCTTTCAAAATGTAAATCTAATGAATTCTCTAATGATTCAGATGATATACAGGAATTACTGATTTTGTTGAGTTCATTGGTAAGTTCTATATGTTGTATTGGGTCTTCTAAAACTTTTGTTGAGGAAGATGATTGTATTGTCGGAGTTTGATCATCATTGAAACAAATACTATCATATAATTGTAAAGTAGGTACTTTTTGTTGTTGTTTCTGTTGTCGTTGTTGTCGTTGTCGTCGTCGTCGTTCTTCTTCTTCTTCGTCATGTAAGTTTGATTGTTGTTGGTTTAGTGGTTGTTGTGATTGTTGAAATGATGATAAAGTAGTCGATTGTTGTTTTGTTGATTGATTTAATCGTAAAGATTTATGTCGTTGTTTAATTAATGCAAAGATACGTTGGTATACTACAATAAGTATGATAGCTGGTAAATAGAATGAACCTAATGATGAACAAATAATGTATAAAGCATTGAATGATTGACATATTGTTGGATCATTATAACGATTTATATTTAAACCACATATTAATGGTACAGCGATTAGAAATGATACAATCCATACTAATGCAATAGATATTTGTACACGTCGCATATTATTATGTTTTGCATAAATAATTGGTTTTGTTACAGCTAAGTACCTAGATATTATAAAACAGAGCAGTGAACGTATATAAAATTAAGGAAAAAAATGAAGAGAACAATGATATTTATTATAAGCAAAGATGGATAGTGGCTAACAGTGGAATCCAGGACGTATGTTTCGTCCAATTTGAGATTCGTTAGCTGAAGAGACTGACCAATTGCAGTCTTAAATATCAATGAGAAGATTCAAACAAATAATACTAAGTGAATTTAAACCTCACCTCATTGCACAAACAAGTAACTATCAGGATTCAGTAGTTGAAAGGATAACGCAATGACGTTTGAAGTGAAAGGTATTGGGTTCGAGTCCCAGAGTGAACATTAACTCTGAGATGCAGATACATCCAGATGACGAGTTCCATAATAGGACGAATTGACCATCCAATGCTTCTGTGTTTTCCATAATGGTCTAATTTCAATTGACTCATGATCCTAACTATTGAAATTACTATAATATCCATAAAAAGAAACCCCTTCTAATAGAAATGTAAATGTTATTAAGTGAATCATTTGTTAGGTAGCAAGTTTAGAATAATTAGAATTATCAAATTACAATAGATGAATGAATAAATTCATCATCATTTTCATTAACTCCTTTTTTTTTGTATGTAAAATCTTGATGAAAATTATCTTTATATTGAAATTAATTAATAATGTAAAAGGGTTAAATGTAAATTATTGAATTTCATAGTTAACATCATAAACTAATCTAATTTTCGATGATGCAATGAGAAGACGAAGATTATCAGAACTATGTGATGGGATATTAGCGCAATACATTTCGAACAATCTGATCACACATATACTTGTTAAGACATTTTTTATATGAAAATTAAAAGGTCAACTAGACTGGAAATAGGGGTAAGAATAGACAAGGATAATAATGATAAAATAATGTGAAAACAATTTGACACCTAATCACTCTGGATAATAAGGTAATATTACCAGGGTAGGTTTAAAGAGAGGACTTCGTCGTATTTGCACAAATGACGCTATTGATGACGATGTTAGGTTGTTAACCAAGACATTAATTGGGAATGGCTATCCACCTAAATTTATCAATAGATGGAAAGTTCAGGGCACAGCGAGACCTACTGTAGCCTTGGTAGAGAAAAAGCCTGTCTACATCACCTTACCATTTAGAGGTGATTCAAATAGCCTTTTATTGAAACAAAGGCTTAAACGTGTTATCAACAAAACGTATTGTGCTGCGAAAGTCATAATCAAGGAAAGAACGAGGTCCATGCTTCATTCAAAACCTAGACGAAATGAAAACGATTGTGTCACATCCCACTGTGTTTACCAATTTAAATGTGTGTGTGGTCACACATACATAGGGAGGAGCAATCGTGATCTGAAAATTAGGGTGGGTGAACATGTACCAAAATGGTTGCAAAAACAAATACAGTCGAATGACCCAATAAGAGTAGAGGATAAACATCCATCATCCTCTATTGCTAAACATATAATCGAAACAGGTCATAAGATTGATCTAAACTCGGCTTTTGTGGTGTTGTTTAAAAGTGTAAAAGGGCGTATACTAAGGTTTGTTGAAGCCTTAGCCATACGAAAATTCAACCCCCCTTTGTGTATTCAAAAACAGTTTGTCCTCTCTTTAAACCTACCCTGGTAATATTACCTTATTATCCAGAGTGATTAGGTGTCAAATTGTTTTCACATTATTTTATCATTATTATCCTTGTCTATTCTTACCCCTATTTCCAGTCTAGTTGACCTTTTATTTTTATATATAAATGTTCTTAACAAGTATATTTTGTGTGATCAGATTGTTCGAAATGTATTGCGCTAATATATCACATAGTTCTGATAATCTTCGTCTTCTCATTGCATTATCGAAATTTATCAAAGGGACTAATTGCTTTAATCTAATTTTGGCCAAGCAACAAGATTGAGGATTAATTGAATAGCTATGATATTGGAATCGAATTTAGAAAAACATTTATTGATGTATAATGTTGAATAGTCTTAAACTAGAACAAAACAGTTGATTAGTGTTTCCTGGTTTTCAATGTTTTTTTTTTTTCATTTTGCACAGTGAATGATGTTTTAGAGTTAAAAGCAATAAGTAGTGAACTCAGAACTTAGTGTGAATATCAACAATAAGATATGAGTATATCCAGCTGATGAGTCCCATGTTGGATGAAACCAACAGCCTGAAATCCAAAACTTAATTTTACCATGTATATATCACAATATATTTTAGAGACATTTTTTTACACTTAAACAATTCTAATTCATAATGAAAACGCAATGTATAAATACAATAATTTGATATAATTACCAATATGAGGTTGTAAAGATTGTTGGCTTTTAATTGAGATCATGAATTAATTAATGTTAGACCATCATTGTAAACCTGGATCCCGCGGGCGGATTATAGGTTATCACTGCTGAGGAGTCTCATAGTAGGACGAAACAACCGTTCAGTGCTTCCAGGTCTGCAATGGTCGTCTAATATTGATCGATTCATGATCTCTATTTGACAAAACTTTAGTTTTATTTAGTTGAGATCATGAGTCAATAGAAGCTAGACCACCATGGAAAATCTGGAAGCACTAGACGGCCATTTCGTCTTATTGTAGGACTGTTTAGTAGTGCACATTCACAATCTCACCTCACGAGATTCGAACCCAGGACCTACCAGTGTGTCTGTATTTTGCGAAAAGATGATAAGAAATACACAAACATATAAAAGATTTTAATGCAGATGAATGTAAATAAGGTTGGTTAGAATATAAATTGCTAACATAAATTACTTAGATAAATGAAAGTATTATTATTTCCTTTGTCTAAATTGTTTCATTCAGTTATACTAGTTGCAGATAAATTTTTAAGTTTACATCATTAACTGATCGAAGTTACACAACCATCGAAAAGCAGGATTCACAAGACATCTATCTTATTCCACTGTTGGACTTCTCAACTGTTCACATCCACAACTCTAACAGATATCAAATGTAGAATCTTTCATACGGTTATGACTGTGCACTTCTAAGTCATCTAATACTAGAACGAAGTGATATTATTTAGGACTTTTCAGATGAATGTACCTTTATACTAATGTGAATGTTCTCTAAATATTACATCATTTATTTATTTCATGACACTAATATTCAAGTAAAATTTAAATTTTATAAGTTGTACAATAAATTGATTAAATGACACATATATGTAAATCTATATATATTTGTCAAAGAAAACTAAGGTTCTGCATAGTAACTATTAACTCATAATGTAACTCTTTTTTTTTTTACTCTTTCTCTGATAGTGTGTATCTATGTGTTTTTTTTATAAAAAACAAAAAAATGCAAAAAACAGGGGGAGAGAGAGGGGGAGGAAGGGATAGAATAAAGGGGGGGGAGAAGGAAATGTATGTATTACAGAAAGATCTTTTACAATAAAAAACAAGTAGAAATAATAGTAGAAGAATATATTCCTTTCAAGGAAATGATAAATAAATAAACAAATAAACTAATATACATAAACAATAATCATTTTAAAAGTAAAGAAGAGGAAATAGTTAAAGTAAAAATGGGATAGTCATGATCAAAGAAAGCCCTCCTCTCCCCCCCTCCAAAAAAAACAATCCATGGAATAAATAAAGTTAAAAATAGAAAAAAAATCATTTGTGTTGTTTACTATTTCTCCTTAAAAAAAAATTTACTTTAGATTGTTGCCTACTGATGACAAAATGGAAAGTTGGAGAGAGAGAGAGGGGGAGTACAGTGTGGGGTAAAAGTTTAATGTTATTTCATCAGTTAATGTGTTGTTATTTCCTGAATATATATGGTATACAGATTGACCAAATGAACATTGCTTTTGTTTTAATTAATTAGTTGCATTAGTTGGGTTTTTTCTATTTTGTAAAGATCCGTTACATTTTGAAGTTCATTTTCATTAAGAAACCATGCCAACCAGGAAGTTATTTGAGTAGTTAACAAAAGTTTCATATATGATCCAAGTTTGAGATTATTTGGAACGCCTTCAATGTTCTAGATAGTGGCTAGCAGTGAAATCCAGGATTTGCGTTTCGGTTTATTTGGGACTACTCAGCTGGATGTGCCTGCATCTCAGAGTTGATATTAACTCTGGGGCTCAAACCCAGTACGGTTTGCTTCAAACGCTAGCGCGTTATCCACTCAGTTACTGAGTCCTGATAGCCAGTTGCTTGTGAAATGAGGTGAAGTTTGAATTCACTTAGTATTATTTATTTAAATCTTCCCATTGATGTTTAGGACTGTGATTGATCAATCTCTTATTGGCATATGTGTCAACATCCATTCTGAGATGCAGATAAATCCAGCTGACGAGTTCGAAATAAGACGAAACGCATGTTCTGGATTCCACTGTTAGCCACTATCCATCTTTGCATATAATGATTGTGAATTAAGGCTATATCGAGCAATACGCACAGGATGCACATATAATAACAAGAGACTGATCAATTGCAGTCCTAACACATCAATGAGAAGATTAAAACAAATTATACTAATTGAATTTAGTCTTCAATATTCAATGTTCGGGTATTTTTTTTCTGTAAGTTCATTTAGTGAGTGGTTGATTGATTATGTAGTATGATTTTGATAGAATATTTCATTTTAAGCTCTAATTATAACTGTATTTTTGTTTCACATTTAACTTATCAAACTGTGCCACATTAGACGTATTCATAACAAGCACTTATGGATAGATATAGACGCTTGGAATGAGACTATTAATGAGAACTATACTCTAATCATCAGAGCTCATACAGTAAATGAATAGTGAGAAGATAGTAAATACTGAATAAAACACATTTTATGTAGTTGAGATCATGAGTTAATTGAACCTGGAAAAACTGGACGTCCGTTTCGTCCCATCGTGGGACTCCTCAGCAGTGAGCATCCACAAAAGCCACTTCTGAAAAAACACGTTTACTGAATATTGAAAAAAAATCCTCAGGAGGTGCTTTATATTAGATACAAATTAATCAGGA